CCAGAAATACCTATCCCTCATCATTCGCAAAAAAATACATAAATGAATTTTTTTTTTAAAAAGTCATGTATTCTATTATTTTGGTTTATCTTATTCTGCTGGGGCGGAGTCTATCCTTGCAGTCACAAACTTCTTGGATTTTCCCATGCAGTACCCTGCTTCTGTAACATCATCTGTCTGACCTGGTTATGCTTGTTTTGTTTTCAATGTTATGTGATACTAAAGGCATTAAAGTAATGAACCTTATTCTCTGCTTAGCTTTCAGAAATCTAGTGCATTTGCAAGGTATGCTTATATGAGCATGTACATGTAGTCTTCCAAACTTTGGAAGTTGGCATGACCTTGTCATGGTAACCTGCTGTTCCCTCTAAGCTTGCATTGTAGTTGAACTTGAATTTTGGCCATTTACCCTCTCAGGTGGTACCCAGAGTTTGCAGTGTTGGATTTTAGCATAGCTTTTTATCTCATGGTGGTTAATCACTGATTATCTAATGGATGCATGTTTAGGAAGTTGGAAGCACCAACGCATTTAATTGCCTAGAACTGGACATGGTCTTGGCTGAAGTGCAAAAGGTAGAGCAGTGGAAGCAGCATTGCAGGAACGTTGCTGGGGCTTCTGCTGGCGATGCAAATTTGTTGACTTCAAGTCTTTTAGAGGTTTACTTAATTCATGCTTTGTCATACTTCTCTGGTCACGTTTAATAATTTACTGACCTATGCTTTCATTTCTAACTGTTTGTGGATTCTCTTAAACATTTTGCAGATAAAGAAAAGTCTTGATAGATCATTCTACATCTACAACAAGTTTAACTGCTGCAAAACAACAGCTTTATGCATCTGTTGTTCCCAAAATTCTGATGATCAGAAGCTTGTTAATTGCTATATTTGCAACGATTGGTTAGTTTCCCGGTTGCTTAGTGATGACTGAACATTCCTGCTTCACTTTGGAAAAGAGCTGTTTGGGGATATTTTTTCATGATCTTTCTTGGGGATTTGGTTTCTACTCTAATATTGATATAATTTGCTTTCTTCTGGGGACCAGGGAGGAAGGGCACCATTAGAAATAAATAAGGAATATCTTTATGAGTTGTCTAGGTCTAAAAACTTCTGATTTCAGCTTGTCCCTTGGCTATTGTATACAGTTTTCACCTACAGTGCAGTGGGTCATCACTTGAAGATGCAAAAAGTGATACAACATATGTTTGCCCTTACTGCATGTTTGTGAGAAGTGGAAAAATCTCTAGGAGCAGATGTGGCATTCTGGTACGAATAATGTTCTGTCAAAGCACGTTTGTTCATGCAGTGCTAAGTCCTTTCTGAGTGTTTTTTTTTTTAAAATTGTGCAGAGATTTGGGCGGAAATGTCCTGATTTGAATAAGCTCATTGAGCTTTTATCAGATGCTGAGGGTCTTTGTTTATGGTAATTTCTCTTAACGTGTTTTATTTTTGTGTGTATCGATTTTCATCTAGATGTCATAATTTTTGTGAAATTTGATAAACTGTTTTCCTGAGCTTCTTCCATATTCTAGAGGTAGCACTTAGTATTTCCTGTTTCTGAGATAATCTACTCTGCAAACAGAGAGCTTTATTGTATAACGTGCTTTTTTGGCTAGCCTTTTTCCCTATTTCAGGTCTCCTGTTGTTTTATGAAGTTATTTTATATCTTTGAAACACTTTTCATTCTTAGTCAAGGTCAGTTTTATTTACACGATAAAGGCAATAATCTGAACTTAGTCAGTGACAATGCTATGCTATTGACAGGATTGAAGAAAGAAGTGTACTTGACCAAATTGTGAAGAAAGCTCTTGAATGCAGGGCTTGCTTAAGGGAAATAGTAGATTATGCATTATCTTATCAAGACAGAGATCTCAGTGGTTTCTCTGATAAACTTGTGGTCGCGTTGAAGGTTCTCATCATTTCATCTTATACTGTCAACTTCTCAACTTAATTTGCTTAGACATCTGTTAGTGGGTGTCCCATGTATTTGATAGCATCCACTTTTTCAGTTCTTCTTTTGATCATGGTCATGGTAAATACAAGGTATCCTTGCCTTGTATTCTTTTGTGTATTTCTGATTGGAGCAGTTTCCATCTTTCATAGGCATTAGATAGTGCTGGCATTTGTGATGGTGAGGGCAACAGCAAATTTGAGCTTGTATTAGCAAGAAATTCATGGAAGGTTAGAGCACAGAAATTATTAAATGGTCCACAAAAGCCCTCATTGCAACAAGTCCAGAGGCACTTGAAAGAGGTATAACCCTTTAATTGTTTCATGAGATCTGTAATGTAACTTTTAGCATTTGTGTACTCTCTCTCTTTGTGCGCTGATGAACTGAATGATTATTTATGTGTTCTCTGGTATATGGGCTGTTTTTAGTTGTGCATGATTACGTAAAAATGGGGATACAATTTCCTGAGATTTTCATGAGCATGATCAGAATATCAACTCTCGTGGTAAGCATGGATTAAATAGATATCATGCAATTGGGTTGGACAAAATTTCAGGAATACCAAGGTCCTAATACTTGACTAGAATATTTGAAGACTATTATGACCTCTTTGGATTGGAGCTTATCAACTTTGCTGAAAGTTATTCATATAGCATGTTTTTTGCAACTTTACTGAAGATGACAATGATTTTGTACTGACATATTATAAACCTTGGTTTTGTGCAAATACAAAATTATTGCCCTACTTTAGCACAAACATGGAATTATGGCTAGAATGCCATTCATGATCATAGGCGTATAAGTGATGACATTTTATGTTTTTTTTCCAGGGTCTGGCGATAGACGTTCCTCCAGAAGATTACTTTACAAGGAGACTAACAGAAGTGAAGCATATTGGCCTGCAATGGGCTGATACAGCCAAGAAGGTCTGGCATATTGCTGTAGTATCATATTATAGGATGGTTTTACTTTTTATTGTGCAATTGCTGATTGTCTTCCTGTCAATAGGTCTCGATGGATGGTGGAGCACTGGGACTTGATAAAGTTTTTGATCTAATTGCCCAGGGTGAAGATCTACCATTGGTCTGTGAAAAGGAACTTAAGGTAACAAGAAACAAGTGTTTGAGAGCACGTAGGCACCTCTTTTTCTTTTGAGCGGTCGCATCCTCTATTTTGTATTGCTCTTACACTCTTTGTGCTCGGTTCATGCAGTTACTGAGGGATCGAAGCATGCTTTATTGTATTTGCCGAAGACCGTATGATCAACGAGCAATGATTGCCTGTGATAATTGTGACGAATGGTATCACTTTGATTGCATCAAATTATCCTCGCCGCCGCCAAAGACTTACATGTGTCCAGCATGTGATTCACATGCCGGAGAAGATGCGTGTTCGTCGACGCCGATGACTCAGGAGAGGCAAGTCCCTAGTGCTCTTAATACATCCCATTTATTGGAGGGAGCTTTTGGAGTGTTTTCTTTATATGTGCAATTTGTTGCTCTGGGATGTTACAGGCAAAAAGCTGTCATTATTCCTTGATGAATAAATGAAAGACGATTGATTCTTTAGTTTTGTCATCGTGATGTTTGTCATCACTGATGCTGATAATCTATGTTGATTCTATTTCTTGGATGATTCAGCAGATCTACCAGTGGCAGAGTGGAAGAGCCCCAGACGCCTTCTCCAAGTCGCACAGAGTTTAGAAAGAAGTCAGGAAGCACCAAATCCAGTAGAAAAAGTCATGTGCCAGTAATAAAGGATGCCTCGAGGCATGCAAGTGGTATCGAAAGATTGCTGTGGAGAAATCGAAAGCCTTTCAGAAGACTGGCACGAAAACGTGCAGAGCTCAAGAGCCTCTCTCCATTCATTTATGTACGAAATAGCTGATATTGTTGATAGACATCAATTTCATTCAATTGATTCAATTGATTCTTACACGACCCCTCCTCCTCCTTGTTTTTTTTTATCTACTTCGTAGTCTTTAGATAACCCAGAATAGAAAATAAAATAGAGGGCCATTTTTTACGCTTCCTTTTTTTGAACAATGACTTATTAGGACATTCCATGTCAAGTTAGCTATAATGTTGAGGACACAAAAATCAAAACTCAAATTTTCTATGCTAGTTTAGACTTCGTTTGGAGTTGCGAATACTTCTTATAGAGCTACTTCTACCAAAACTGTTTTTCATCATACATAATTGTTTTTAAGCTATCAAAAACTGGTAAGTTATGGCCTGGGAAATACATAGTTGTCAAACACTTTAGAAATACTTTGTGTTTAAATGTGTTTTTTTTTTTTGGGTAAACGCCCGCAATCCCAAATGGACCTATATGTAACGTGGTATGCATTAATGTTGATAGTGCACTTTCTTCGTTTGATTTTACATTTTCAATCATCATTGAAAATACTTAGTGGTTGAAACCCCTATACGTAATAAGTAGTTACAAGAATTCAATACATAAATGAATATGGTCGATCTTTTTTACAATGCATATATATATATTAGTGAGTTTAGATATATACTGCATAGTCATAATTTGCATTTGAATTTGAAGTTCTGCACGTATTTCATATATTTATACTTGCAGGTGCATATTCTATTATAACAGGCAAGGTCAAACCAAATGAATCGATTTTTTTCCTTTGAGCGGTATACCAATCAAACTACTCAATCAAGTAATTCAATCCTGGTCGAAAACCAAAAATAAACCCGAAGACAAATCGGACTTTTTATAGATAAATAAATAAAGGAAAAATAAAAATAAGAGGAAATTAGCCGTATTGGACCTATTGGGCCCTTAGCAGCCCAAACATGGTTCTAGCGAATGAGCCAGTTGAAATGCCCCATTGGGCACTTCATCCCCATGGATCCACTCTTGCAATCAGCCTAGTGTCGGTCGCCTTCAATCTCATAGTCATAGAGGCCTACTAGAAATTATTTCTTTTGTTTTTTTTTTCCAGCTGTTTTAAGAAACGATTTTCAACTAGTGCATCCTCCCTCTCCAGAAAACTGGTCGTATAATTTCAGGCTCTGGGCTGCATTTTCCATATGAAGGTAAATCTCTCCCGCTTCTTTTCCGAACACTACGATTTACGTACATGTACACAAGTGAAGAGATAGAGAGAGAGAGAGAGAGAGTCCCAACTCCCGAAGCCCTTATAAAACAAGTATGCTAGTGGACCAAGTGTTTGTGAAAATGTCTATCTGAAGTTGCTCGGTTGTTTTTCTTTTTTCTGATTACTGCTCAGAATAGTTTTAGCTACTACTTTACTTTTCTTGAATTAACTCATTAATCTACCCTTTTACTTTAGAAGGTGTTTTCTAAAGTTGCACTATGGAATTTGATGCATTACAGGGATGAAGTACATGAAGCCCGCGAACTTGTTTCAAGAACTGATAAAGACAAATTCACGGAACAGAAGCCGGTTACTTGGTTTAGATGTCGGTGATAAATATGTGGGTTTAGCTGTTTCTGATGTAAATAACAAAATCGCATCACCTCTCAGGTAATATTTGCCTATCTAGGAGCTTAAGAATTGCGGTCTTCCATGATTATAATGAATGCGTCGGAGGACCCGAGAACATTTTTAAAGTAATGTAGAGTAGTTCACTATGATTTTACAATGCATGGGATGAACATGGTTGACGTCTGGTTGCAGTGTTCTGCTACGGAAGAAAAGTAACATTGACTTGATGGCCAGTGATTTTGAACTTCTGGTTAGTATTAACTTTTTATTGTTCTTTTTGTTTATTTAACTAACTCATCTGCACTGAGCAAGACAGTGGGTAGAGTTTATTTTTGGATCTTTTGACTTAAAGATGATTATTTTGGATTATTTTTCCAATTGGGTATTGGGTTGTTAGAGTAATTTTATTAAGCTTCTATTGTTAGAGGTGCCTCACTGAATTTAACTGAAGAAACTATTCATCACTATCTTCTCGAATGAAAGCATCCTTAAGCTAGCACCTATGGCAAGTTGCTTTTACTGCTGAGATGCTGCTTTAAACTGTGGATGGAGTGAGTTGTATTAGTCCTATGATCATTAAAAATAACTTGTATCACTGATGGAAAAGTTGTGCTTTTGACGGTAAATTGTTCAATTAAGATCACAGTCCTAAGATTTGGCATGACTATTTTGTTTCAGATGTTTTAATTTTATGATTTATTGTTTTCAGAGCTGTTTGAATTTGTTGATATGAATATTCTTCGGGGGAATACACCTATTTTACTTTAAGATGTTTCATGGAATAAACATAAAGAACTAATGATATTGCCTTTTTGCCTTCTGCACTTTTGTTTCCTTCTGAATTTTTTGAAGGTACCAATATGAATTGCATACTTTGTGAACCAAAAGATTCAATCCTTCAGTTTCTATCTTTCACATTTACATGGATTATGATGCCACTCTTGCTTCTAATTGCATAGTGGATTTTTATAACCTGAATATCTAGATTATTTTGATGAAATTTAGATTCATTTCTTATATGCTTTCTCTGTCTGCAGATCTCTCAACTTTCCCTGACAGGCTTTGTAATTGGCTATCCTTTTGATAGACAACAGAGGAACAGCGCAGATGTGTGTTTTCCTCTTATTCTTCTTCTTCTTTTTCTTCCAGTGAACTATATCTTATTCAGTGAAATATAAAGATATGGATTCTCTCTTCACAAGTATAATGGCTCGTCTTCCCCTGATTCATTATTGTTCTCTCCTGCAGGCTGTGCAAGTGAAGCTTTTTATTGATGATCTTTGTAAAACAGGGAAACTTGAAGGTGTAAGGTATACTTTCTGGGATGAGTGTTTTACTTCAAAGGTGGGTGCTTCTAACCGCTGATATTGAAGAAGTAATTTTATGATACTGAATGGCCTTTATCAAGGGAAGCAGTTGATAGCATGAAATGGTTCCTAATCATTAGATGTTTGCAACCTCCTTGTTGGTACTTAAAATTGCAATGCAAATCTTCATTCTGGATATAGTCATGCTTAGATTGTATTACCAGATTGAAGGAATCTATCAGATCTGGAATTGCAAAACTGTGAAATGTGTTTCATCTTGATATTACTGATTTGATAGTCTTCTTTCTTCTTTTGTAGATAGTTAGCCTCATCTTTTCTAGCCCTTTCATCTAATGGTGGCATTAGCAAATAATAATAATGTGAATGGTTTCGTTGCAGAATGTGGAATTTCTGTTGAAGCCACTGAATTTGCACCCTGTTCATTATAAGACAATAATGGACAAATTTGCTGCTGTTGGAATCCTACAGGTCACAATAATCTTCCCATTGTACTGAAGTTTTGATTATATAAACTGCAGAGTATGACTGAGTTTGGTAGATTAGCCTGTGTAAGAGGTAAGAAGCAATTTCTGGTCAGATAACTCTGCAGTGTTACCATTTTGATTATTGTGCCAAGGAAGCCTAGGTCTAGAGGCTAAGGTTGAGGCCTTAGGAATCAGAGTCCTGAGTTCAAATTCCTGTTCGCACTCCCTGCTTCTTAAATTCCACTCCTCCCCTGCGTTAAAGGAAAAAAGGAAACAAAAAAATACCTTGATCATTGCAGTGTATTGTGTTACCAAGTCTTTTCGTCTTCATGGGAACCTTCCTGAGCTACCAGTTTGATAATTGCAGTGTATTTTAGTTTTATTGCGATATCCTTTAATTGGGTAAAATTAGGAGCATTTCAGATGTTGAATGTTTATATCTAAACCATAATGGTCCTATTTCCCATTAGCTATGAAACAATAGTTATACTTGATTTGTTTGCGATTGAATTAGATGTTTCATTGTTTCATTTTGGGATCTAATTTAAGTGCTTATCTTTGACAGGGGTACTTGGATTTCGTGAATAGAAGTCACACTTCAGAATCGACCAAGTAAGATTTTCTTAAGAGTAGCACTGATTCTTTCGGTGGGAACGCATCATCACACATCTTTTGCAGTAGGCCTTCTGCAACTTGGTCAAGTGTATGTAGCGTAGTACTGAAGAACGGGGCTATCATAGAGTTATTACAGTCTGAATGCTGAGTTTATGAGAAATATCTAGTGCTTCCAATTTGCCGGTGGGGATGGAAGATGCCTCCATATTCGATCTTTTTGCATGGCTTACTGGCGGAGGATACATGAAATATGGTCATTATTACTGGTCTAATCCAGAACTATAATGGACTGCGCTCAAATTAGGACCAGAATTGTAATGGAGTGCTCAAATTGGGACCCTTTTAACTTGGCAAAATAGTGAAATTCTTGATGTAGAAAAACTTTCAAGCTTCGACAAATTTACGTAGATCGGTGTCTAATCAGTGCTAGGGCGTTTAATTGGGCCAAAGGAAATTCGGGGGAGTACATCTCACTTCTAAACCAAAGAAATGCACTACTGTTATAGTACATGTTTTAAATTTTAAGCAAGCATAGATGCCTGAACGCTTGACTAAGATGACCATGTGTCATTTTGTGTTCGGTACGGGCACCCCCGTGACTGGGCCTGGATGGAGATGCTACTGCTCGTACACTACAATAAAGACAGTCTATTAGATATCATCTTTGGAAAGCAGCGGTCAACGGTCATCGGTCAACTGTGCTGCCCATATCCCATCATTTATGATAGTGCAGAGCACAAAATGTCTTCGTGTTACATAAATGTTACACTTGACACTCGACTCTGATTAATGGCCTTAGAGATTTTGTCAATTCTTTTAAAAATTTCACATTAGGATTGTAGGATTAGGATACGGGTCGGGTACTCGCTCTATTGACCGTATGAGTGGATACGGGTCGGGTACTCGCTCTATTCATCATTTGATTGATTCGACTTGTATTTTGCGGGTCAATTATTTTCTGACCTTTATCCGTCCCGTATATCAGCGGGTACCCGATTATAGGGTACTCATTGAGATAAGGTCGGGTCAGCGGGTACCTGTTTCGTCTCATTTATCATTTAATTTTTTTAAAAAATTATTTATATTAATTTAATTTTATATTTTAGACATTCATCTAAAATTTAATAATTTTTTTTCTCAAAAAAGGTTTCTCACTAACTAGAGCTACAAACGAATCGAGCCGCTCGAGTCAAGCTCGAGTCGAGCTCGAGCTCAGAATATTAAGCTCGTTAACTCGCGAGCCGGTTCGCGAGTTTGGGTATATATATATATTTTTTATTTTTATTTTTATTTAATAATAAAATTACGTATAGTATATATATATTTTTTATTTTCATAATAAAATTACGTATATATCCTTAATATTTTATTATTTATTAAGAAAAAATATTATTTTATTTATTTTTTTAAAAATAAAATAAGTATTTTTTATTTTTTTTCGAGCTCGAGCTCGGCTCGACTTGATTCGAGTCGAGCTCAAGCTCGAAATTTGCCGGCTCGTCAAGCTCGAGCTTGATAAAATTTAGTCGAGACTTGACTCGATTAGCTCAAAATTCGACTCGACTCGACTCGTTTGCAGCCCTATCACTAACAAACAAGCATGTGAAGAAAATATAAGATAAAGGTAAAAAATTCAAAATCAATAAAAGTTTGAAATAAGTGATACAATTTTTAATATATATGTTTCACATTAATTAAACTTTTTTTCTATAAAATATAAGATCATGACCTCTACAAATGAATATTGTAAATAAATTATAGTCTCTCATATTTGTAATGCAATTTGTTCAATAAAATTACTTATTTAGTTCTAAATTATTATTTTATAGTGTGTGTATAAAAATAAAAATAAAAAATATATATATGCGGGGCGGATTGGGTACCCGCGAGTTTTTAATTATGTGACCGTAATCCGTCCCGCATCTTAGCGGTATCCGACTCTCTTTTGACCCGATCAAATAATAAAAATCGAATATCCTAATTTTATGAATTTTCGGGTTAACGGATAATTTTGCCCACCCCTGCTGACCCGAACTATTCTCATGTTGTGCTCAACAAAATATGAACTAATAAATTTGACAGAAGAAATGAGCTAGTCTATATATCTATAATACAAAATGAGTACTAAAATTGGGGAAAAAAATGAGTGCTTGACGCAATTTTGAATTGGGAAAATGAATCTTCCCGGTACAATTTCCAAAATGTCGAACTTCTTGCATGTTTGGCAGAGGGATGGATAACGTCTGTTCTCTCCTTCGGCTACCTACTTTTGCAGCTATATTTTATTTAATCAAAAGAGTTTTGACTTCTTTTGCATAACGAATTTGACTAGGATCATCATAATTACTCGTTAGCAAACTAACTGTAAATTTTTTATTCTTTTGTCAATTAAGCGAAATAAATGTATAGTTCATTCGCAATAGCATAGAGAGCTCCTCCAACAACAAGTACAAGAAGAAAAAGCATGACCCCTTTCTTCAGTCAAATCATGGCTGTTCTTAATCAAGATATGCTTATCTCGGACTGCTAGTACAAGTATTCGTCGAATTTTTTTGTTTTGTTTTGTTTTGTGAGAAATCTTCTTGATCTAAACTTGAGCGAGTGTTTATATTTGATTTTACAACTGTTTATGAGATGGGGAATTGAATTGATCATATTTTCTTTTTGGTTTGAAGTGAACTACTGCCCAAATTTCTTGCCATCATCAAATGTTTCAGCCCCTGTTTGTTTTTTTCCTTTCTTTTCAAACTTCTTTTGACTCAACTCTGAACTCTCTCCTCTCTCTCTCTCTCTCTCTCATGGGTGACTCACAAGAAGCGTCCTTCTCTCTCATCAGTCATACTCTGGTCTCTTGTCAATGAATGCTCCATCCCAAGTCCAAAAAGCAGCGCGAAGCAATCCCACAAAAAGAAAGTTCTCATTAAATTCATCAGAAGAAGGAAGAAGGCAGTGGAGAGATTCAAATAAAGAGCAAGAAAAGGATACCCTGTCCCAAGAAATTTCATGTACCAGTACTGTAGCAGTAGTATTCTGATATGGACAAGTTGGTAGTCCTTAGGTGCACCCAACTGTCCTCCAACAGGCCTCCACCCCTCAAAGACCTCAAGTCAGAGAAACACCGTCACTGATCACTAAATCGCCCCCTGAAACCCTTTCCATAAATTATTATTTTATAAAAGTTAAACCATACAATTTTGAATTTTCTTTTTTAAAAAAAAAAAAAAATTAGAAAGAAAGCCTAGCCTTCTCTTACTTTAATTCAAAAGTTCAGTAGTATTTTCTATTTCATTTCACTTTTGTCTTTACCCTCCCTCCCTCTTTCCCAAAACTCATGCTGCCCATCTCTCTCTCTCTCTCTCATTTCCTCTCCCCCATTTCAAATCTAGGGTTTCTTTTTCTTTTTCCTTTAGTTCTTTATCTATCTGAGCACCCTCTCAAGAACTATCGATTTTGAGCTATCATTTGTGGGGGTCTGTGAAACCATGGGTTTTCAGCATTCTTCTTAATTTAGCTCTGGTTTCCGTGATCTTTAACTAAAGAATTTTGTTTAAGTTTCAATCTTTTTCAGTTTTGCTGCATCTTTTACACTTTTTTGGTGAGTGTTAACTTGAAGATTTCTCTTTCCAAAATTGTCTGCTTTTTTCCCATGATTTCTCCAAAACCCATGTTAAACCCTTGTTCTGATTTTCCTCTAATTTATTAATTTTTTGAAGTTATGGTGTATCTTTTCTCTGTTAAGATTTCGGTTTTGTAGTCAGATTTCTGTAGGGGGGTCGGTTTTAGATTTGGGCTAGGTTTGTTCAAAGAGTGGATTTTTGTTTTGCAAGTGTGGATTTTATTGCAAAGTAGGTTAAAAAAAGGAGTCCTTTTGGGGTTAAATTTCGTTGAGTAAATGCATGGATGGAAGAGAAGGAATGGCTTCATATTACCTCAATAGAGGTGGTGGGGTTGGTGGGTCTAATTCAGGGTCTGGTGTAGGAGTTGGTGTTGTTGGGGGCGGTGGGGGTGGGGGCTCAATGACCCCAACAGGGGTGCCCGCACCTCCTGGTTATAAGACCCTTACAAACCCTAACATTTCAGTGCAGTCAAATGTAGGGGGTGGTGGTGCTCCTATGGGCTCCGCATTCCAAGTAGAGAACCCTTCACCCAGTTATGCTCATGGCATTACTATGTCCATGGCTTCTACTGTTACACCTGTTGAAACTGTGAAGAAGAAGAGAGGGAGGCCTAGAAAGTATGGCCCTGATGGGGCTGGGGCTAATATGGCTTTAGGATTGTCTCCCCTCTCTTCTACGCCATCCCCGGGATCAATCACGCCTGGGGGCTCCAAAAAAAGTCGGGGGCGGCCGCCTGGTAGTGGATGGAAACAGCGATTGGCTCCACTTGGTAAGTTTTTGTTTTCTTGATTAATTCGTGTTGTATTTATATGCATTGTTTTATTTTAGCCTATATGAGACTTAAGACTATTATTAGTTGGTTAATTGAGTACTGTACTTCAAAATAGGATCTTCAGGTTGCTCTTGCTTTATTTCTGAAACTGCTTTTCTACTGGGGATTTTTGCGTGAGTCCTAGGTGGGAAGTTTAGTTTTTGTTCTCCGATTTTTAATCAAAGTATGAGTCTTTTATGGAGTTTTCCCTATTCAAATTCTTACAATGTCTTTGATAAATGCGTATATGTCTGCTTTGTAGTTTGACTTTAGTGAAACTAAAATTACATTGATGGAATATTCTGCTACTTAGTTCGGTAGTAGATGCAACTGAAATTGTAGTTTTCATGGTCAAAATTGAACTTAAGATCCTATAGATCAGCCTCTTGCATTGCTTTTCTAGTAATTGTATGTTCCGATTAAGAGACATTGATAAATTATTGTGATTTTATAGTATGGCACCCTTTTCTTGAGCTCATAGTTTTTGTTTTTATTTTTTATTTTTGGTGGCAGGTGATTGGATGAATAGTACTGCTGGACTAGCTTTCACACCGCATGTCATTCATGTTGGAGTTGGAGAGGTATTGAATATGCATTGGTTCGCTCCAATATGCATTATATGTTGCCTATCCTGATCTAGAGTGTTTCTAGATCAAAGTGATTAAAAGGAAGAGGATGGTGCCTGTATGAATATGAGCTAGTTATAGAGATCTATATATTTTGTTTTATTCCATTTTTTTGGGTGTGGAAATCTAATTGAGCTGAATGTTGTCTTGTATATCTATAAAATTCTTGTTTAAGCATGCAACTCTTGCTGATAGAACATGCTTCACTACAATTGTTGTGATGCAATCTTGTTGTCAAAGCCACAAATTGTGGACCATTCATGCTAAGTGGATGGATTATTGGTGTTGATAAAAACTTCTCTAGTATATGTCTTTAATTTGAGTTGCATGCTTCAGTAACAACTGTGGGTAATGTGACTGCAGGATATTGCTGCAAAGATATTATCATTTGCACAACAGAGGCCAAGGGCTTTGTGCATTTTGTCAGCTAATGGTTCGGTATCTGCTGTAACACTCCGGCAGCCAACAACCTCTGGTGGCACTGTAACATATGAGGTCAAACTCAGGCTTTTTTAGTGCCTTATACTCAAATTTAGAAGCATTTTTGTACCTTATCTTTATAATTTGTAAAAGTTTTTGCCCATGGGCTGGTGATCTTTGACAGAGATGTTCAACTTTCGAATTATACAGGCAATATACAACATACACATGGAGATTTTGGTGAAGTCTGCTGTGATGGTTTATGATTTATCATCATATTTATTGGCATGCATTTGAATTTTTTGCCTTTTTTATTTTAAAAATGGTCTACATTGAAATGAACCCTTTTTGTAGTTATAATAAAATATTTTATCATTTGCACTATAATATGTTTGCCATGCTATTAACATGGAATCTTCTTGTTCCCCATCCTAAGTTGTTTCATTCAAATGCAGCAGTTTCTGTGGAAAGATTGACGTTTTGGGGGTGGACCATCTTTACTTCAGAAAAATTGTGGAAATTGAGTTCATTTAGATGCCAAGTATTTAACTTTTTTGATTCTACATGCTCAACCTGATCCCAGTTCGTCTAGCCTCACTGCTCTATCACGGGGATAGAATCTTTATCTTATTTGTGTCTTCTTCTTGGTGTTGTCATTATTAATAATTATTTGTGTCTTCTCGAGGTCTTTTGACCTTATTTTTCATCCAGTAGATGCTGTCAGCTGCATGATTAAATGGAGAAGAGTGAACCCTTTTTATGTTGAGCTGGCTTAATTTTATTTTTCATCTGTTAGATGCTGTCAGCTACATAAATAAATGGAGTAGAATGAATCCTTTTTCTGTTGCTGCTTCTTTTTTCATTTTATTTTACGTTAGACGTAGAACTACATGCCTTTTGTTTCAGACCCTGGGATAAAAACCAGTGATGGCTATTGAGATTCTTTCTAGAAGCACCTTCCAATGTTAATTTCGTAGTACTGTTACTCAATGTCAATAGCTACAAAAAAACAATGCACATTCATTCTGTCAAGTGTCCTCAAGCTTGAGCTTGTTTTGCAAAACAAATTTCATATGTATTGCCTTTTATCTGTTGACTATTTTCTTGTAGGGTCTGAAAGATTTTTTTCACATGCTAATTTTGGTGGTGGAAAGGGGCTTACAATTCATTTGGTGTTTGTGGGGTGAGGGAAGTGGAAAGCAAGAAAGGTTTTTTTATGATTTATACCCTGATATAATCTGCATTTTTTAGAAGTCAAAAGGATTCGGGTCCTACAAAATGTCAGTCCTACCTTGAACATGGGCTTTTTGTGGTACTTATCTGGGTAGTAACCAAACAGCATGCCCATGAGTTTTTTTTTTCTTTGCAAAGCAGGTATAAAGAACTTGGTGGTCACTTGTGAATACAAGGATGTAGCTTTTTATTGTCTCAAGTTTTTGTTTGGTCAAACTTTTTGGCAATTCCAGAATAGTTAATTAGTAAATGTTGTTTTCTATTGGATAGCTTTTATATCTAAGCTGAATAGATTGTGTAAAGCTATTTGTGTGGAATATATCCTGTATGTGCACACTCTGGGTCTGTGTTTTTCTATCATGCTGCATCAAGTTGTATGCTCTCTACACAGAGTTAAGATGTCCTACATAAACAGTTGGCTTTAGAGGACTTGGTTACTAACAGTTGGCTTTAGTGGACTTGATTACTACCAGACACCGGATTTTATGCTTGATTAGTTTCAGATGTTGTGTAATGTTTTGTTGGTTGGTGTGTTGTTTTCTGTTACCCTTAATATGTGCCTTATTGTTTGCATTTTCCTTGTGTACAAATGCTTATTTACCCCCCAAAAGAAATCATGTTGTTCCATGGACTTGCTTAAATTTCTATGCATATCAAGTTGTGTAATTTTGTGCTTTGTCTTATGCGTAAAACTTTGTTTGGATGACGTAATTATAATGCTCCCTGCCTTGTTTTTTTGGGGACAACGTCAAGTTTTCTAGGTTATGGCCGTGCTAGCAGGTCTATAATTGTTTTTTAATGGTTAAAGTGTCAGTTGTCATATAATTTTATAAATCTTTGCTGTTGGCAACAGTGATGATTTTTCTTCTCTGAGAATTTGTGTCTGTTGCAAACCAATGACATCTATTTTATTTAATTTTTCAGGGCCGTTTTGAGATATTATGCTTGTCTGGTTCCTATTTGCTTGCTGAAAGTGGTGGCCCTCGTAATAGGACTGGTGGTCTTAGCATATCTGTATGTAGTCCTGATGGGCATGTCATTGGCGGTGCAATAGGGGGTAGGCTTATAGCCTCAAGCCCAGCTCAGGTACTTTCTCGGCTTAGTACCTTCTTTTTGGCAGCTTCTGTTACCTAAATTTTTATGTTGATGGGGATCTTGTTGGTAAGTCGAGTGGGTGGGTACTGTTATGAATCTGGAGGCATCAACGTGTGTTTCCTACCTTTTCTCCTCGTGTTTTGGCTGCCCCGTGGAGGTTGAGGAAGGATGATATCATGGGGGGAGATAAAGAGTGTTCTAATCACTTGGTGTTTGTTTTCGAGGTTATGAACATTTTCATTTAAGTTGGTTTTTGGATGTTGTATAGGTCGTGGTCTGCAGTTTTGTATATGGTGGTACCAAGGGAAAGAGCAAATCAGAAGCTAGTGATAAAGATGACAAGAGCATAGTACCCAAGTCTGAAGACAAGTCATCAGCACTGGGTAGTGGTGCTCCTGGTCAGGATCCTACAGGAAACTCTGGAGCAGGTGGTTGGCCTCCTGTTTCCCGGCCAGACTTGAGGAATCCCCAGACAGAGATTGACCTGACGCGCGGATGATACAATTGCTGCAATCAACACATGGCAATTTTTGTATATATGTGTTGTTGTTGTAAATGAAACGGGGAGAGAGAGAGAGAGAGGGACTCTTTGACTTATGGTGCGACCACCAGTAGGCAATGATGGTTTGTGCTAACATAGCCTCTTGTAACAAAGCTGCCCCCCCTTCTTAGTGTTTTTTTAGTAGTGAATAGGTGGTCATGGTTGGCGCTGGTAGAGCGCATATTATGGCTGCTTGTAGCGGTGGTTAAATATGATGGTCTTCGGCATAAAACTTTGGGAGCTCTCTCAACAAATTGATTGGAGTACCAATTTGGGTCTACATTACTGTTGTAATTGGATTTCTTGAGATGCAGAACTCAAATCAAATTGCGGGTTAACTGAATTTTTTGGGGCTAAGAAGAAGTATCCTCTCCTGAGCTTTTTGGCTTCAGTTTTCTGTTTTTCTCTTCTTTTTTGGCCTTGCACGCTGTTCTTGTTTTGAAGATGGGAAGAACGGAACAAATCAGTTCGAAGACATTTTTCTTTCAAATGGAACGTTGTACGGAGCTAGGAGCTGCGGCCAATATTTGGATGGAAACACAGGCCTTTCGAGTAGCGTGGGGAATGCGGTCTGTCACAAGCTTCTCAATCAAGTACAATTGGGTTGGGTTGGACCGCCCAGTTTTGGGCTTAAATTTGGCACGTTGTGCGCGATGCCGATGATTTCATGAATTGACCAAATTACCCTTCCAACGCACGCACGCAATATAAAATTTCACAAAAAAAAAAAAAAAAAAAACAAGATGGAAGTAAAGAACAAGATCGAGATTAGGAAAAAAAAAACCCTGCCTTCTAAGCTATCGGTAAAACATTTGCTGTTTGAAGTGGTCACATAGAGGGCAAAAGACAATCCTCCGTGTTTTGGCAACAGCAATGTAATTGAACTGCATTTTCATGTCGACATGCTACATAGTGGGCAACTAAGTATCAGGGTTCATTGTGATTTGATTTGATTGGTTCTAGCTTGGAGCAATCATCAGTTCTCGTCGATTACCTTGGAAATCTTCGAGAATCCAGACATGGTAGCTGCCAAATTAACATCTTAGTAGTGTGGACGCCCAAAGGGACAAGTGACAACACACTCTTTTAATTCCAAAGTATCTCATGTAAACGCCTAAGGACCCATAGAAAAGAGTCATAGAAAGAAAGGGTGCACAATGTCGCAAAGATTTATGCAAAAGCGTCTTATTTCAGCCCCTATTTGTTGATCTTGTTGGAGGCATTCAGTACTTAGTGTGCTATATATACTCCACGACCTCAGACATCAGAACCTAAAGAAAAAAAGAGAGAACTGAAAACATGAGAAAACAAGTCCAATTTAGTTCGATCTGCCTCTTGGTTTTGCTCTCAATCATTGCTTTGGCTTGTACGATTTTGATGGTGGAAGCCAAACCGTGCACGCCAAGCGGCAAAATCAGAGGAAAACAAGCACCAAGAGACCAGTGTGATCCTCATACTGATGATTGCTGTCAGGCAGGCAGAGTTTACAAAACCTACGAGTGTTCGCCTCCTGTTTCTAAACGCACAAAGGCAATTCTGACTATAAATGATTTTCAGAAGGGTGGAGATGGTGGTGGAACTTCTGCGTGTGACAATAAGTTCCATTCCAACAACACACCAGTGGTGGCTCTATCCACAGGATGGTTCAATGGCCTGAAAAGGTGCCATAAGTACATTACCATCTTCGGTAATGGAAGAAGTGCCAGAGCCATGGTGGTTGATGAGTGTGACTCAACGAAGGGTTGCGACTCCGATCATGGTTTCCAGCCACCATGTCAAAATAACATTGTTGATGCCTCTGAAGCAGTTTGGAAAGCCTTGAAAGTCCCCAAGAAAGACTGGGGATCGATGGAAGTTTTCTGGGCTGATGATTAGATGCTGCAGTGACGAAACATTTTTTCTGTTTCTCCTTTTTGTTCTCTACTTGTCATCCTCTCTCTCGTGTTTTCTGGGGGGTAGCCGGGTAGGGGTTGGGACTTGGGAGGGAGGTTCCAATGCTTGGACACAATAAAGCAGCTCATCCAGAATAACTGGATGGTTGATCTCCAACTTTTTGCAAGATTTCAATTTACTCCTCACAAGGTCATAATCATGACTTAACAATAAAACGTCACGAATTGATGCAGCTATATAGTGCTTTTGAGTTGGTTTCAACTTAATAAAACTGTTATAAGTTTTGCTTTCCTTGTTAAGTGAAAATGTTTGACGAAGCGAGATGATAATCTCATAACAGCAGAAAATATAGAATCTCGGGTTTCAGATCATGATCTTATTAAAATAGTCACAGCAGAAAGTACAGAAAACAAATAAATTACATGAAGTTTACTTCATGATGTCATCTTCAATCATGTTAGCCGGTAGATAGGAGAGCAAAATGTGCCAAACGCAAGATCCGATCAGAATTCCAGACTAACTAACATCACGAAGCCCCCGTATCTTGTGGCATCTAAGAAACTCCCAAGAGCTTCTTTATATCTCGCTGCAATTAAAACAAAATCACAAGTTCAGTTTCTATGCATCGTTCATAAAAGCTGATGACATCATTGGAGACCTTTAACATATGTGCATTTTGAAGTCCGGATGACACAGAAATTGAACTCAATAACACCAGGAAATCAGCAGGAGGGATTACCTCAATGGTAAGAGGAGAAGTTGTAGGGTAGTAGCGATCAACTGCCTGTCCATTCTTATCAACCAGGAATTTTGCAAAGTTCCACTGAATGTTATCTCCTATTAGCCCCCACTTTCCTTTCTTCAGAAACTTATAAATTGGAGCAGAATTTTCGCCATTCACTTCAATCTATTATAAGAATATGCAATGAATACGAATCTCAAAACTGAAATGGTTTATATAAATGCTTTGCAGAGCAATGTGATGCCAAGTACGTCAGTTTTTTTTTTTTTGGGAAGTACATGATTTCATTATTCACTAAATGATTTGGCAAAACAGCAACAGAATTGGAGCTTAATATGAAAGCAGGCTAAAGTTTAGTCAATTTTATTTACTTTGTCAAAGATGGGGAATTCTGACTTGAAACGGGTGCAGACAAAATCTACGATCTCATCATTACTTCCTGGTTCTTGCTGACCAAACTGATTGCAGGGAAATCCCAGAATCTCCAGTCCTAGATTGAAAGCATAATCAGAGGTACAAAAATTAACATCTAATTTCTAAAATTAAATAAAAATCCTGTCGCCTAAATAGAAATAACAAAGTCAGTGCTAAGTGAAGCAACAAGATCTGTGTACTTCAGTCAATGATATCAGAAATTAAGAACATCAGATAGAAGTCAATCAGTACATAGAGATTGTATCCCACATTTGCAAATTTCTATTTCTGCTTTTAATTATGCAATAGACAAGCACTCATAAACAACTGTACATATAATTGAAACACATACCTTGATCCTTATACTTCTGATACAGTTCATTCAGTTCTGTATAATTTGAGTTGGTAAACCCACTGAGGCCAAAAAAAAAAAGAAAATCATTTGGAGGAAGTGCATTTGTAATGATATTCCTAGGTTTGCAAAATGATCCTAGAACAAAATGACAGTTACGTTTGTTATTACTTTCTTACTAGTCAGTCTTAAAGCTGTATACAAGTATTCTTATGCACAATTAGTTTACCATGAGAAAAATTGCATAAGAGAAACAAATTGACATTCTGGTCTGAAAAAATGTGTGCAGTTTTAAGTAGACTGTACCATTTCGAAGCAACATTGACAATTAGCAGAACTTTTCCCGCATAGATGCTGAGATCCACATCATTTCCCTTGGCATCCTGCAATCAATCAAAGATGAAAAATCTCAGTAGACCTGTTTGAGTGAGGTAAACAACTAAGAAAAATGTGCAACTGGGATTTAAGACTCTACGTGCTCCATATTAGCATGAGAATAATTAAGACAACGGGCATATAAAAGCAAGATACTTTTTTTTTTATCAGCAACAATACATTTGTATAACCTACTCTATCCTAATCTAGGGGAAGGGGAAGTCTAAGGAGGCTATGGTAGGGGGCTAGTGGATATACAGACCCAACTAGATCAAGAAAGTGCTATGACACAACCCTTAAATTTTTTTCGTTGCAGGTGAGGGTTCAGGCCAAGGAGGGACTTAAGCCCCTCCCTGGTGGCCACTGAGCCATTGGCCCAGTGGTTTATAAAAGCAAGATACTGCCTGCATCCAATTCTCGAAGGAAAATGTTTTGGTTTGAAGTACCATAGAACTACAAAAGCCGTCTTTGTCATTTAGCCATGAACCATATCCTCCGCCAGACCATAAACCGCCAGCTTAATTCATCCTCGCGATATTTTATGTTCATTTCTTTGTCTAACTACTACCGTTACACCTCTGTAAACTAGCTTCCTCAGCTATTGCACTACAGTACGGGGCTTCTTAAGAATGAACGCTGATTTTTTAAAGAAAGTGCTTAAAACCAAATGAAATGAATCAGAGTAAAAACTGAAAGGTCTCGCTCAAAGTTGATAACTTTCCACAAATTCTTGACATGTAATAATACTCATAAACAATAACCCATTAAAGATTAGGCATCAAAGTTCTTAATAATATACTACTGTGTTCTTAATTTACAAAAGCAAGTGCTGGAAACCAAATGGAATCAATCAGAATAAAAACTAAACGGGCTTGCTCAAAGTTGATGGCTTTTCTCTCCAAAATCTTGACAAGTAATAATACTCGTAAATCTTCATAACCCATTTAATATTAGTCATCCCTGAAGCTATCAAACCACATACATACAAGTAGTACAGTTACTTCAATTCCAAACACACATGGATCTTCCGCAAGTGTAGGCTACAAGCATGCAAAACAAGAAGGTAAAGAAATAACCTTAACAGTGAAGTCATAGACAGATTGAGGGGCTTTCTCAGATAGGGATGCCATTATCCGATATGATGATAGTTGTTCAGCAGGAAAATTGCAGACGGCCCAGAGGACTGAGATGCAAACGGTGAACGTTTTCCGGACGCAGGTAGGTAATATATCATTAAGACAACGGAGTCAACTGATCGACAAACTGCGGGACCCTCGTTCCACTGGAATTTGGATAACTTTTTGGAGTATTCCGTAAGCTCGCTTTTTGCAAAACATTTTGGAATATTCAGTAAGCTCGCTTTCAAGTTTCAACTAACTTTTTGTTTTTGAAGTTTTTAAACTTTTTTTTTTTTTGTCACATAGATGCCATTCTAAAAGATGCCATAGCATTTTCTTCCAACTTGTAAGAAACAATCCAAATGAAGGGGCATCTTTATTTGAACTCAAATAGTTTTATAATGGTGGTAAAATTTAAAAGGAGTAAACAAGCGGTTGATTGATGCTTCTGATCCTCGTCCCCTTAACAAGCCCCTCAATGAGAATCCACACCGAGGATCGGAAGCTGTTTCCTTCTTTCCTTTTGTTCTTTCGGGTAAAAAGTCCTGTTCATTTCTTCACCACTTGTCTATATGCAGAGTCGATATGTCATTGTTGATTATGAGTCGGTTTTCGCTTTGATGGTTGAGGAAGCAATTACACATTGCACCAGAACGTGGCTGATTACGTTCAGCTTCTTAGGTTGTTAAATTACTTAGTTTCTTGCTTTGATGTATTACCTTGATAATGAATCCAAAAGTTAAGATATAAAATGGGCAACACGGATCACCTTGCTGAAGTGTTCTCTTTCTGGTTCAAAAATCATTAGAATGAAAAATGAAAAGAAAAATGAAGCAAAAGAAAAAAGAGTTGGCATTTGGCAATGCAGCTGCACGAATCACCACTCAAACACCATAGGAATCCTGTAGGATCAACTTCAACTGGAGATACGGTAAAAGCCAGAATTGTGTTGTGGTATTGCAGGCAAAAGAAGTGGCAACTGATACTTTTAAGCTCTAGCATAAGATTAGTGCTTAACAAAAACTGGAAGCAAGCAATATAAAGGGACCGAAGAAGAGTTACATAAAATTGGTAGCTTCCAAGTAACTACAGCTCATATCATGAACAATTTTATCCCGAGTTGTCTTGTCTGATCAAGTTAAGCTTTGCAGCCTGCTTTTGTTATGCATCCTATGAAAAATTTCTACAACACTGGATTGCACTTACCGTAAATGCCCCCATCCTTCCTGAAATCTCATGTTGGTCTTCTGCTGATGGTTGCACTAAGCCAAGCTAGAGGTAAAGTTTAATAATAAAGGCATCAGACTCGTGTATCATATAAACTCCAGCTCCTCTGCAACTTATTGCCCCATGATACATACAGAACCTCTTGCACACGAGTGAAAAATGAAACATGAGAATAAAAGTTCAATTTGGTTTGATTTGGAAATGAGTTTTAAGCTATGCTAAATAGATGGCTAAACTATAATTTTTACACACTATGGAATACAACTTTCATCCGTCTGTAGGGCCTTACAGTTTCTGCACCATAGCATGATACAGTGATATGTTAGAAGCAATACAGGAGCAGTCGTTGCAAAGTGACTGACCTTAGAAACCCTTGTATCTTGTGGAAACTACAGGACACCGAATAGCTTCTTTATATCTCGCTACAATTACAAGAAGTTCACAACGTAAGAAATATTACTACACAGTAATAATGGATAATGGTTGAGGACATCTTATTGGGAATGCAAATGAAAATGCGTATAAAATTTTTTTAATCATCATGTTATTGAAGTCAACATGAGACATTAACAGAGGTCAAGACAATCAAGAAGTTAGCAGGAGCAGGCATTACCTCGATAGTTAGTGGGGACGTTGTGGGATAGTAGCGATCTATAGCCTGCCCATTCTTATCCACCAGGAACTTTGCAAAATTCCACTGAACATCGTCTCCTAATATCCCCCACTGGCCTTTCTTCAGAAACTTATAAAGTGGAGCAGCACCTTCACCATTCACTTCAATCTAGATTAACGATATTGATGGAATGAGAACATAGTACTTCTCCAAAGTCCCAAGTGAAATGTTTTGTCTTGAAACCAGGCAACTAAATTGCTTGGAAAAAAGAATGCAAAGTGAAAAATAAATGCATCTGGTTTACAAAATTTATATACGCGAGCTTATTTTTGGGCAAAGCCATGCTTACGGTGATAGTTGTTAGACACAGAAAAAAAATCCACTTCTGAAAATACGCTTTCTTAATAAGGTTGGCCGATTGGGATTTACTTTGTCAAAGATTGGGAATTCTGACTGGAAACGGGTACAGACGAAGTCTAAGATCTGATCATTACTTCCTGGTTCTTCTTCACCAAACTGATTGCATGGAAATGCAAGTATCTCCAGCCCTATATGTGAAATGAAAGCAAGATCAGTGGTTTTGCAGAGTCTTATCACACAATGAAACGAACAATACTTAATGCAGCCTCACTAAAAATATAGAAACTGAAACAGATCAATGTTTTAGCCTTAAGGCAAGTAATTGAATTTCAGGATTCCAACAGTACAATCAAGAACTCTTCAAATAATGTCGACCTCACTGAACTTGAAATCCATATCAGGTGCACAAACCTATGATTCCTTCTATCAGACACAATCAAAGCAATACAAAACCATGAAACGCATACCGAGCTCCTTGTATTTCTGATACAGTTGATTGAGCTCAATGTAGTTTGAATTGGTCATCCCACTATCAAAAATCAACCAAAAGACAAAGAAAGAAGCATAATCATTCAGGGGAAAAAAATGGTACCATAATTATAGCATAGTGACAGACGATAGATTAGCAAATGTCAACCATTTTGAAGCAACATTGACAATTAGTAGAACCCTTCCCTTGTAGATGCTCAGATCCACATCATTTCCTTTAGCATCCTGCAATCCATATAAATCAATAAGCTGAAACTCTTAAGTGAAGCTTCCCTTATGCTACATAATCTCCCAGAATTGAACAATTTGCAACACTACATCAATGTTAAATATCTTGCCAGCTTCTTGCTCTTCCTGCCCAGCAATTAACTATGAATTTCAATCCCTCAAAGCCCGCCTTTATAGACTGATTGATTAGCTATAGTGGACAGTTCAAGCGGGAAGATAAATGACAGTTAGTTGGCAAGAACAGATGCTGACCTAATTCAGGCTTCTTGTATGCTTTTAGCATAGACAAGAAAAGGTAGGACAAACTAAACTGCATTTTAATTTTTACTGCTAGGAAGGTGAAAAATCAAACATTCTACTTCATCTGTAGCTTTCTCAAAAATAACTTGACTCTCTCCGTTTTTGGTCTTTTTACTTTTAAACAGCTGATCACGATTGATGTTAAGGTTAGTTTAAATTTCCTCAACTTGAAGCACTTGTCAACAGACACTCATAGAAGGTAGATTTCAACTTCATCTGTAGCTTTCTCAGACCCAATTAGAGCACTTTCTATAGCATTGCAAGAATTTTCACAGTGCTCAGTGCTTCCCTATGTGCCCTTGAAATCATTGGAATCAGAGGATTAAAGAAAAACTTTATCAAAATCGAATCACTTTCTTTTTAGATAGATTTCGCAGCAACTATATGGAGATCCCCCCTTTAGATTATGCTTCCTAATTGTTACTATCGAGCTACGTAAGACCACTTGTTTGGGAGGGTGCTTAAACTTACATATTTGGATGCAAAATCAATTCAAGCGTTGAAAAAGGTAGAAAGATCTAACCTTGATAGTGAAGTCGAAGACTGATTGTGGCTCTTTCGCAGATTGGCCTTCCATTATGGTTGTCAAGCCTCAAACCCCCGCAAGAATGCAGAAACTACCGAACTTTGAGGCTTTGGCTTCGTGGTTCCAAAGTAATTTTCTTTTTTTTATGTATTTGTTGGGGGGACCCCGGGGGGGGGGGAAGGGGGATTTCCGATCTTTGTGTATTTTTTTTTTAAAAAAAAAACAGTGGATTAAATTTTGTAAGCGTCATTTTATGTACACATTAATGCAGAGTGTGCGCTACTTAGCAGAAATACAACAAAGAAATGAACAACTTAAGTCATTTAAATTGCCTTTTTTTTCAATTTCAAGTTGGACTCTCTCGCTAGGAGTACGAATGTGAAAAAAGATGGTTGTGGTGAAATTTTCAAAAAAAAAAATCATACAAAAAAGTTAGTGTTTTAAAATCGAATCAGACAGGTCGGTTCGACCGGTTGAATAGCGATTCTATCTTGACACCGATTTGATTGTATACCAAAACCGAAGACTTCAATTAAACCGATCAAAAATAGAAAAAACCGTTAAATCGCTAAAAATCGATTGAACCAGTAAACCCCAATTTTTTATTTTCTTCACAATTTCCTTTGTTTTTATGAAAGCTTTTTTTTTTTTTGAAAGCTTTGTAAAAGTGGGGATGTTTTTTGGATGCTGGTTAGGTTCGATTTTGGGACCTCATGTGGAGGAGGCAAAAGGTTTCACCAGGCCCAGCTGTATATTTTTTATACTAAAATAAATTAACTTCCATGCTCTATGTAAACTATTTTACCGCCAGTTTATTCACATTCACCCTACCCTTCATCTCTTTGCATCGCCATCTCCGGTCTCTATGCTCCCAATTTCATTTTTTTCTCATCTAATCATAGGTATTTTATTGTCTATGAATTTATTTCATCTACAAACTCTTATTCTCTTTCAATTTCTCTTTTTAATCTGGACTCTCCTCTCTTCTTTTTTCTACTTCTAATCTTTTCTAAATCTTCATCTATGTAGTTCAACCTCTTGAGTACTGTTCTGGGATTAGGTTTAATTAAACAAACTTCGTTTCCGTAAAAAAGATAGTTCAACCTCTTGAAGTTTTTCCACATCTTTAGTTCAATCATTTTAATTTTTCTTTTCTTTATATTTTGTATGTGACGATTTTTCTTTTCTTTTCTTTTGAAATTTTTGTTCTTTTTTTGGGTATATCGTGTTGTTCTATTTTTTTTTGTTGGTTTGAATTTTTTTTTCTATTGTGATTTTTTAGGTTTTTTCTTTTCTTTTTTTTTGTATGATTGAAAGAAATTACATTCATCAATTTTTAGAAAATTTATGTTCTTGACTTTTCAAGTTATGAAAAATTTGTTCTAGAGTACATATTTTTTTATTTTTGGAAAAGGAATACTTCAAGTTAATATATATATACATATTTTTTTTTATCAATCGTCACTTTATCTATAGTATCCTACACTATCCTAATATAAGGGGAAGGCTCAACTGAGTGAGTTTAGGGGAGCCGGTGGGGACTGAACCATCATAATACACCTATCTGAATTTTTTAATAGATCACCTAATATGACAATTGGTGGGAGGCAATGATTCACCCCATCAAGTCTTAAATGGCTTAGTGGTGGCCACCAACTCAAAGGCCAGTGATTTACTTCAAGTTAATATGTTGAAAATCTTTGGATATGCTCTCTCTCTCTCTCTTAAGATTTGAAACTTTTCTCTTTGTGATGAAAATGAGGCCTGAAGGTACGAAAATCCTTGGACGGTTTCTCTTTTTTTTTTTTTTTTACTAAGATTTGAAACTCATCTCTTTTAAATCTCTTTGTGATAAAGATGAAACTGGAACTTGAAGGTATGAAATATTTGAATCTGGGCTTATTCTGCACAAGAGTATCACCGGGCAATAGAGATAATGAATTTTAAAAAATTTTTTGTTTATGAAAACAATGTACCGATAACTCAAATCAGTTGAATCGGTTGAACCGAAAACCAGTGGCTTAACGGGATCAATAACTAGTCCGAGTTTCAAAACATTAAGAACAGATATACAATTGCTTTTGCCTAAATTCTCATCCCAATATTGAACTTCAAACCAAGTCAACCGCCATTGTCAAATTCCGTTCTCCAGTCCAAGCATAGGGGACAAAGGCCGAAAAGGGGGAAAAAATGTTCATTGGGCGTACCCAGTCTTCACAATGCCCCTCCTGCAAACATAAAACGGTAATTTATGCACAGAAGGCGACATCTGCAAACTTTCTCTAGTTCGTACCATATTGCTTAGCTTGGGTGAATTTTATCACTTAATCCAGATGTCTCTCAAGGGCCACGCTGTTGGAGCATCAACAACCCAGTTCCCTCTATATGGAAAAGATTAACATTTATTGTTGTTACTATTTTAAGCTGCATTGGCAAGATGTTACTATTTTGAACTAAAACAACATAAAAATACACGCTTTACAACAATGATGACTAGGGAGAAGAGAACCGCAAAACTACATTCAACTGGACCATAATAATATTTGCCTGTTAGCAAACAAAGAGAAGCTGCATTGGCGATATGTTACTATTTTTAACTAAAACAACATAAAAATAAGCTTTACAACAGTGACTAGGGAGAAGAAAACCACAAAACTACATTCAACTGGACCATGACATTTGCCTATTAGCAAACATGCTTTATTGCTTGAATTAAGCAAATAAAGAGACACTTCAGTACTGTAGCAGAAACTAAATATGATCTAGAAGGCACATTCAACCGCAACACAATTCCGCTTATTCATAAAGATATTTCCGTGACAGTGCCTGTTTGAAAAGATCAAAGGCAGAAGCGTTCATTCAGACGAGTCTCGAGTCAACAGCTCTGCTTAAGCTTTTTCCAATAGTTTCTTAACGTCCTCCTGCAAAGAGTAAGAAGAAACATGCTATTTGTTAGCATCATAAGATGAGACGACATACTAAATTAATGGCCTAATACATAGACTGTAGCCGACATTTGCAGTTTTTACCTCTATGCTCAAGGGAGATGTGGTGGGAGCGTAGCGATCAACAACATGCCCCTCTTTATCTACGAGGAATTTTGAGAAGTTCCATTTGATGCTATCCCCAAAAAGTCCACCTTTGCTTGACTTCAAAAACTTATACAGAGGAGCAGCATTTGAACCATTTACGTCCACCTATAACATAGGAGACAATAAAACATTTTACAAAGAATTCAAGTGTCAACACAAACCAAAGCATAAAACTACAACTTTCAAGAGCCGCCCTGTACATCCTAACAAGGGCTTCAAATATTAAGGAAATGTCTACACACCACACACATAAAATACACTAACTCATTACATAGAAGACCAGAAACACTGGCCAAGCACATAGCTCTCTGTTTTCTCTAAAGCAACAAGGAAAAGGAAAAGGAAAACTGGGAAGCCATGAATACCATGGGAGTAAAACTAATGGAATCAATTATAAAAGCTGGCAACCAATAAAGATGCTTTTCTGCAAATTATACCTTGTCAAATATGGGATACTCAGCCTTAAAGCGGGTGCAAGCAAACTGTTGAATCTCTTCATTAGTTCCAGGCTCCTGTGAGCCAAACTGGTTACAAGGAAATGCAAGGATCTCCAGACCTATTCAAAAGTTCAAGAGCCAAACTTCGAGTTATAGTCAGCTAATATACTAAAGAGCAGAAAGAGTTGACAGGATTCGGACCTTGATCCTTGTACTGCTCATATAGCTTTGTCAGCTCAGTGTAGTTTTTGTTGGTCAGACCGCTGCATCAACAGAAAATAGGACATGCCAAGTAAGATTGAAGAAATAAGGTCAAGCAAGAAAAAAGATATCAAATAAGTCCATGCAAGACAACAACAGTCAGGAACTGGGCAAGACTGTTGGGTCTTCACTTTCTATTGACTGACAAATTCAGGAGAACCATTTTGATGAATTGAAAAACAATAGACTAGCAGAGAACCAGCTTCAAGTCTTGAAGCGATGAGATAACCAAGAAAACTTGGGAAAAAGAAAAACACATTATGAGGATCGAAGAAGGAAGAAAACAGTCTTAGGTGGTGACTGCTGAGTAGAAAAGTCTTAAACCGTTCGCAAGAAAAGAACTTCAACATATAAGAACCTTTTCTTCCTCGAGATTCTTTCATCTCACCATATAAGAAGCTTAGAAGGACAGTGTATTAACAAAGACTAGAAAAACCAACCAACCAAGGACGAGAAGCACCTAAAGAATGAACAAACAACGAAAAACTGCAGCAGATTTGAATTCCATTAACAACTCTGTCAGTATGCTATTTTAGAACATATCCAAAAGGTTCAGTCAACAAGGAGAGAAATCCTTTTGATATGTACGCATGCACTGATGCACCAGACACACTGAAGCCATTTCTTTGCATTGTCTGTCTACATATGGCTAAATCAGTTTATTCAAAAGAAAAACCATGTCAAGGAGCATATTTCCCAACTTATCCTTCAATCATTATTAAAATTACAAACCAAACAGTATAAACATCAAAAGCTGAAAATCCGTACCACTGAGATGCAACATTGACAATCAAAAGGACCTTTCCCTTGTATTGGCTAAGATCAACATCATTCCCTCTGGCATCCTGCAATTGGAAAAAAAAAAAAAAAGCATTAGAAAACTTCTACAACCAGCAAGGGCTAACAAATCTTGTAACATTACACAAATACCAGCAAGGGTTAATCTTTTTTTTTTCTAAAAATGGAAGAAAATAAATTGGTTATAATTTATTTTTTTGTATTACAAGTTTTGATATATGGGTATAACATAGTAATATGTTTTGTTGGATATTGATAAATTGACTTTTTTTTAGAAAACTCTTCTCACCTTACCACCCACCCTAACTCTCTCCTTAAATGCGTTAACAATTCTTTTATCATGTAAATCATTATAAATTACAATTTTTTTCAAGATATTAAGCATGCATTTCTTTAAAAATTTTATTATATATATTTATTATTTTGTAACACAATATATAAATATATAAAATATTATTTTGATTTGAAATATAACCCGTGCATAGCACGGGTCAAAACACTAGCTTTTTTAGTGAACATAATTGTGAATAACTGCCAGTATAATAATAACCAAATACTCCAGGATTGAAACGGGCATGATTGTCACCGCCTGTGACATACTTCGAACTTTAACACCTCTCCTCTTTATTTCAAGAGAAAAGAGGGGTTTTTGGGGTGGGGTGTACCAAATAGTCAGGTTCACCCTCAGACAGTCAAAACCAACCAAGTCCGTCAATTATTCCATTGAATAATTGAGAAATAAAGTTCCAACTTCTGAAAAATAATCTCATATTCCGAATCCAAAATACAAACATAAAACCTAGAAAACAGATTGCAGTAGTATTCTTTATCTCAAATAAATTATTACCCCAAAATCAGATGCACAACAAACAATCACATACCAACCACGCAAATAAAGACCAAAACGTTAAAGAAAGAAGCAGAACAAGCAAAACAAACCTTTACAGTGAAGTCATGGACTGATTGAGGGGCGCTGGACTGGGTGGCCATCGTATGATCTGACCTCAAATTCAGAAAAGCTGGGTCTTTTATGCTTTGACAAGACCAAGAATTCAAAAAACTTGCTGCGACAGGCTGAGAAATTGAAGGAACAGACGAAATATGCGGGGACTGCAGATGGGTTTGGGATAGAATCGAGAATTGCTTCGACACGCAAAATGATCTCCTGATAAGACGAGTTGAAAAAGAGAACATGAGGACTGTGCGCAGGGGTAGGTCTAATTTATACATATTTTGTCGATTGAGACGTTTTTATTTTCAAGAGAAATAATAAAATACCCTCTAGTCCGTGTAAATATTCGTGGGCGACGAAATTTTACACGTGGCAGATGGGCAGCTAATATAATAACCCGTTTTGGAGCACACACATGCGTGGGATAATATTTGATTTGACTGTGAAATGATGTGCAAATTTTGGGTGGGGATGATGTGAACGGGGAATGGCGTGCCACCGTCGATCCATGGGACGAGGCTATGGTTTTCCCTTCCAGAATAGACCCCTTTCTTAGCAAAGGGTTAATTGCACGCCAAGTCCTTTTTATCTTTTTATTTTTATTTTTATTTTTTTGGTGAGGTATGTGAAGGGTCACGATCAAGATGTGGCCTCAAAAATTTGTGCGGCTCAGATTACAGCATGTAATTCGATTTTTACGTCATGTGTGGAGTTCACAAAAAATTATTCTAAATTACTTCATGTGTAAAAAAAGTTACGCGTGCAAAAAATGTTACGCGCTGTTGAAAAATGCATAAATCGACACAAACGGTTGCACCCATGTGTGAAAGGATCATGGTAGATGCTCAAATTTGAAACCGGGTTCACATTTGGGAAATGAGAAATCTTTTGTGCTGAAAATTGGAAAGAAGGGGCATTTGGTTCAAGAATTTGGAAAATGATGCCCGTTTTTTGGCATCATGGTCCATTGCACTTTCTTGATGCAATGTTTATTCTGGATTTGGGAAGACTCTGGGCGAAGAACGTTTCCACTTGTTCGTTAGGAATTTGGACAATAGGAAGGGCCAAATTCAAGTCTAGACTCTTTGACCAAAAAAGCAAAACGACAAAACTACAGAAGACAGACGCAGGCGTTGAGGTGAGAGGCAGAGAGTTTGAGAGGGACGGAACTACTGCTGCAGGATTCCCGGATTCTTACATTAAGTAATGCTAATGTCAATTTACAGTTCATTTTCTTGCATATTGAATTGATGCTTCTTTTGTCGTGACATATGATATGATCTGAGTTTCTGACAATGGATAGATCTGACAACAGCTGTAGGGACTCTTGATCATCAAGTTATGAGACTTTAATACATGTGTTCACATTTCATATGATTAATATTTGTTTTACCAAAGTTGTAGTAATATATGTACAATGAACTTTAGAACATCAAATTACGCTGCAATAATGATCAGCGCGTATTAGGTAGATACGTATGTAAACTTTAGGTATGAACAAAGTTAAGAAATTGAAGACAAAGAGACCATTGAGTAGTGGAGATTGAATGGCAGTGCAAGCAATCGACAATTTACAATTAACTTTAAAGAAATTTGAAGTTGCATGTACAGAATTACCTTGTTTGGACAGCAATTTTTCAAAGAAAATTTGTTACGTTTTCCGTAAACGCATTTTTCAATCATCTTTTTATCTCATATATATCAAATCATTACGATAATTTTTTAAAAAAAATGCAATCCAAACAAAGGAAACAAATTATTCTCTTTTCAGTGACATCCTATTTGCAGCTACAAATCCCCTATCCTCTCCCCATTTCTTAGAGAAAAAAAAAATCCCATTTACCACTACCGAATATATAATTTACACGAACAAAATGTCTTATCAACCTCTCCATCCACTATAATCTGTTCACCCTTTCAATCAGATTATTCATTGTTATCGAAAAAGCATCCTGAAATTTCTCAAGCTTTGAATTTGAATCTCCATACAGGAGTCCAGGTAATAGGTCATAGACTATATACCTTCTCATGTCCTCTCTTTCCTTTATAGGAATCTTCTCTAGCCTTTCAGCAATATTGACCTGCCTGTTTCTCACCGCATCTTCATCTATGAATACTGAATACTTCTCGTGATCTTCTGGTAAATGCCATGCATATTGATAGTAAGCTGTGAAGGGATCAAAGAGTACTGGAATGCAACCTGATATAAGAGAATCAAACACTGATTTTCTTGTTGCGCTGTCACCTGGAGGTTGTAAGCAGAACTCAGATTCCATGAATAGCTCAATCAGTGACTCGGGTTGATCACAAGCACCTGAACCGCAGTTTAGGAATCTGCAGTTTCCATTGCTAGCTGAAGTACATTGCTCGATCAGGATGGATCTTATGTTCTTTGGAGCACCAGATCTTGCCGCCCCAGCAAAGCTCACGAGGCTTCCACGCCGTGATCTGATTAGCTTCAGCTGCCACGTGATTATGTCATCATCTGTCTGGGGATGGAAGTATGTTGGATGTGGGATGCCAATGTCATTGATACGCCAAGGCTGCCGTTCAATCAGAAGCTTTATCGGATTCTGCATTTCATCAAGCTCCAAGAACCTTGTGCCCCATGACTCTCTGTCATATCTCCTGAAATCCCAGGTGATTTTGCCTAAGACAAAGACGTGATCTTTACCTGACTTCTGAAACCAAGGCTTTTGTGTCTCAAGCCATCTTATCAGTTCTGAGGATAAAGAGTCTTTTACATCATCTGAAACATTCTTGAAATTCCATCGCAAGATGTCAAGCCCACCATAGAATGGTACGTAAAATA